AGCTCGATAATCTTCATACCTGTCGAAGACCAGGACTTGAGTGGCAAAACAACATTAAACCGTAGATCATGGTGGACAGGGTCGCTAAAGCGTATAACTTAGTATATCAGGTAAAGCCGGTTGATAAAGGTCCTAATTTTTTTTGAGAATATGACTTTTTTCTGGAGTAAATGTGCGTCTACAGAATCAATTATTCCAATGCACGACTTCAATGCACATGTCGGAGCAAACACTGAAAAGTAAACGACGTGGCTGGAAAGAACGGCCAGAGAGACCTGAACAGTAAGTGCATGAAGTTGTTGCGGTTTTGTGCAAACAGCGGATTGTCCATTATGAACACCTTCTTCGAGTATCGAAGAGTGCATCAGTACGCCTGGTACCGAGAAGCTTGTGCACAGAAGTCGATGATCGATTTGATAGCCGTATCGCTTCCCTCACTTACGACGCTTTGTAACCGGTACCCGCGTTAAGAGAGGCGCCAAGTTGTCAATCAATCACCACCTCGGTGTTAGCGCCATCCGCTTTTCAAGAAACAGTGTCATTCATTCTGCTTCTGCGACCCAAAAGGATAAGCGGAAAAGCTTAGATATCGAACCTGAAGCAAATGCTTATAACATGTGCTAAGCCTGTGGTTCCTTTTGAAGGTATCCACAGGCTGGCCATTCTGAGGCAACCGTGAACTACCTCAAACAGGATTCACATTTTTTGGTACCGCGGCTAATTTTCTATAGTATTTGCTCATTTAGCCCTGAATTCACTGCCCACAAATTCATACATACATTTATGTAAGTTAATTACTTTTTTAATTACTGACTCTGTTTTTTGCTAACTTAGTTTCCTACAGTTTATACGCTGACTGTTTTAGTTTTTATTGAATCACCACTTTCAGTCATTTGCATAGGCAGAGGATCTCTTCTTTGTCACATCGTTTCATTCGCAGCTCTTCAACACTTTTGCTATTGGACACCGGTTGCTGAACTGGAAAAAATATATTGCTCCCCATTGGGCATTTCAGCCTCTAGCTTCTTTATCCCATTGTATGCTGACCACCTGGACGACTTAAGCCATGTTTTGGCTCTCACAAAACA